CCCTGGACCACTGGGTCGCGGGTTCGAGACCTTCGTTAATCAGTCGCCAGGTATTGGCTGCAGGGCGGGTTTTTTTTTCCGGGAACTCCGGCTTTTCTCTACCACCAAAACCTGGCACGTCCTTAAATGACCAAAGCTGTTAATAGGACGTAACACATAAACAAACAAACAAAACCAAAGTATGCATTGCTTATATTTTCGTTTTCATATAAAAACAATGGGGATTGATGTTTCCCCCTCAGTTACCCTCTGTGTTGAGCAAGGGCGACTCAATCGATGGAACGACAACCTTGCGGGTTCGCTGTAATATAAAGGATACAGAGGGACACGGGAAAAACAAAATAACATGTAATGGTGTGAACGTCTCTTTCCATATTAACAACAGGTGAAACACTGCATCCCTCATACATTACTTGATGGTTTTATATCTTGCACAAACAACAACAAAAATACCTCAAAATTTGTTTATAAAACCAGTTTCATATCAATATTTACGTGCCTATATTACTAAGACAACTGACGGTAGAATCAGGGGTTTTCTTCTGTGAAGCTTTTGTGAAGCGGACATTTGAAGAAGACATTTATCTGATGCCTAGAAAATAGTTAGAAAATAAAATAACATAATTAGGTGGCATGTACACACCAGCAAACCTTATGGAACGCTTGATTGAGGTCGAGACAGACTTAGGTATCACAAATAAGATCAAATCGTTATCAGGTTTCAGTATTGAATCCGCTAGCCCGACTACGTCTACAAAATAAGTAAAGTAGATTTTTCTCTGCATGCAAAGGGAACTAACTCTTTCTTGCCTTAGTTCGTAAAACTGAACCTACTACAGTACACAACGTGCCTGCGTAGGGTCAACTCCGGTCAACATTAGCATCGAGGGACAGGTTACATGCTATCAACGTAAAAAAGGCATAGTTTAGTTTTATTTTTTAATATTTTATTTCATGCATGATTTATTCCATTCGTTCATTCCCATTTCAGCCCTGCCTCTCTACACACATAAGCACTCTATATACTGTAAAAGTTATCATGTTAGCGGACAAAAATGCGAGCGTATTATCGAATTTTAACAGATTAAGGCATTAATGATCAAAATTGAATCAATAAACGCGAACAAAACCATTTACAGAAAGTCCCATCAGCGTAATCATTAATGAGCGCAATGTTTACCGCGTGAAAATCGCGAAAAAAAAATAAAAAAAAAATGGACGTTTACATTATATATCATCCTGTCTCAAACTTCTATATCACAGTAGGAATGTTTAGACATTGTTTATGTCTCAAAAAATATACACTCTTTTGGAATATAAAATACACAGCTGCCATTCACGAAATATATAATTGTTCAACTACAATAAGCAACACATACATGTATGTAGTCTGATACGATCTGTCTTTAACGTGCAGTAGACACGGGACCCACAGCGTTGGGTCCTATCTGGATATGTAGTCTGATACGATCTGTCTTTAACGTGCAGTGGACACGGGACCTGCAGTTTTCTAGTCGCGGGTCCGGAACTGCGCTTTGGTCGGCAGGTGCAGGAGAGCGCTCACACCAGTACCGAGATTCGAACCCCGGCCGTGACGTGCTGGTGTATAAACCACATCCATTGGACGTTACGCTATCTGTACCACACCCAAGAAACTGGCCTCTTCTGCTCGCGAAACCATGGATATGTTGGACACTTTAACGTAGATTTCGTCACCAACCTTCAGACGAAGCGTCGCCGACGTGTAACTCGTGTGGTCGCTATGTGACGTCACGGGGACAAGCTTCAAGGTCCTGACACTTTCCATCAGTAGTTGGTTGCCGGTGTTGGGATAGATGACGTTGTACCGGTACACGTAGTGGTAAAGGACACTGCTGGACTTGGGCGTTGTGGGAGGGACGTACTTGGAGAAGTAGATCTGGCTATAGACAACGTACAGTCCGGTCGTGTTGATGATCAGTCGGTCATTTGTTAAGTTAATTCCCTCGATGTGAGATGTCGGATAGTTTGATTGCCAATTCCGCACTGGCTGGTCACCATGATCTATAATATTGAAAAATAATAAAATAATTTTACTTTTATATGAGTTTCTGTACACGAGACGGGATACCATCCAATAATCACCAATCTTATGTTAATCATCAAGACCACAGACAGATACTAAAAGTTGCTCAGTGTCCTGTTCTGATGGGCAACTGCTTTCAATTTGTTGTCACCGAAAAAAATGTATCATTGGATAGAAAATTCAACATTTTATATCTTCATTAACTTGTGTTATTACATCTATATGGACCCAATTCCCTTCATAAATATATATTTGCAACTGTTGCGCCGCCTAACTGAAAATCCTGGATCTGCCCCTGAAGGCCATGTGCTAAAAATGTACATGAGTAACATATTTGAAGCAGTTCTTGGTATGAACGATTTGCAATTACCCTTATTTTTTCATCATGCCATCATTATTATATTTCAAAACATGTATTTTCTCCATGTGATAATAGTTTTGAATTATAGCATTTTCTTTTGATGAAATTGTAAAATATGATCAATGTATCGCAATGTCAAATTTGACGAACAATATCACTGAAACAAAGACTGCATTATAGTGGACGACAATGACGATCCAAGGGAAGCAACCCACACAGATTGTTTTTGCAATTGTGAGAGTGACGTTGGCTAGTCATATGAGAAGTGAAAGTCAGTCACGATTGCTGTTCCGATTATAATAATAAAACATTCTATTGCATTATTTAAAAGAGCAAATTTCCTCCCGTCGAGGACCTTACTGTTTTATAGAACTGTCTATAGATAAAATAGATTCCTACCTAACACACAATAGCGGAGGAATATCTTGCATTATATTAAGTGTGCATTGCACATTGCAGATGATAGACAAGTTCAGTAACACATACATGTACATTTAAATAATGATTTAGGTCTTACTCTCTTGATCACAGATCACCGGACAAAACTAGAACTGATGGACTACTTTTTGACCTACTTACCGTTGCGTGGTGTTTGGACACCTATGTGGAGGTGGGCAGATACTCTTCCCGTCAAGACAGGACCAGGCAATGTCCGATTACACGCGGTCTGGGCGGCGTTCACTTCTGTGGGGAAACAATAAAGATAAACATCATATACGGGTGAGATTGTTTGGAAGAAATGAAAGAAAGAACGATTTACAGGAAGAGATTCTTTGAATGTCCGTGTCATGACATAAAACAGGAAAATAAGTTCCACCCGAGCAGTATTAAAGTTATTACTTTAACCATACCATGTTCTAATTATAAATATTTTTATCTTTTAAATGAAACCTATTTGCAGAATTTAAGGTAAATGAGTATTAGAAACGTAGTAAAGCTGTCTAAAGCTTGTCCCTAAGGGTGTCCGTCGGTACCAAATCGCCACTGGCGTCCGGTACATTATACAAGTTGTACCAGTAATGAGAACTATCAGGGACGTAACCAGGACTATGAGTATGTGGAAGCATACGAAGCGCGAGTAGGGGGTGGGTTCGGGAGGGGGGTTACCCCCTCCTGAGTTTGAGGGGGTAAAATACTTATCATTTTCATATTTGGCTTGTAGTATATTTTATCAAATGCGTAATAATTACTTCCATATGAACAAGGAACATTTTCGTTAAATAGTCAATAAAAGAAACAATGTCAATGAGATAATGAATTCACTGAGGGCCGAGGATTATATGAGTTGTTAAAGTCTATCACATACAGTTCTACGATGTGATCCTTGTTAAAAGTATACTTGAAAAAAATACGTGAAAGCCCGTGCGTCCGTGCGTACGCCTGGTTACGTCCCTGACTATGCGACGCAATATGTAACATGCGTTTCTCTGTTCATCGATACATTACGGTCATTAGTGTCAGATTATGTAGTTCCAGTGATTAAGGAGTACCGACTTACCTTCAATGCATGTAATCTTGTTCTTCTTCTTAAACAACTGAAACGAAATAAACGAACGTATTTCATTTGACGACTTTAGAATTCATATTTGATATGAAATGACAAACTTTCTAAGGTAATGAGGGCCCACTAAGTTGAAAAAATGTGATTATTACCGAACCTGTTTGCAAAATCGAAAATTGAAGTAAGGTCTGATTAAACGAAGGAATACGTTGATCTTTTGTTTTAATCATAGCTCATGCCAAAAGCAACGGGATAAGGACATCAGTTTTAAAACTTATTAAAGACTTACCAGATCAAACATGACCTTGGACTGTCTTGCATCGTTTGCGCAGCACACTCGGTCACCGTTGTCATCTGACGTCACTTCCAGTTTCTGCGTAGCAGCATTTTCGTCCTCAAAAGGAGACATAGTAAGTTCGTCACATAGCAGGCACACCTTCCGGTCAACCGAATCACCAGATGCTCTCTGCAGTTGCGCACGAACATGCTCGAGATTGGAAAACAAAATTGCCACGCATGTGCCCAGAGCCACACAAAAGCAGGCGAGGAAAATGGCGATGATGATTAAAACGCATGAATACCGGTCAGCCGATTTCTTTGAGGTGAGGGGCCGGAAGTCACACCCAGAAGTCCCGGGGATGATGCTGCTACTCGATCCAGTCGTGGAGATACTCGCAGACCTCTCACTGTTCTGGTATTTAGGGTTCGACATATCACATGGGATGTCGTAGTGAGAGTAAGACGGATTGCTAGACATCTTTCCTTATGTAGAGCTGTTCAAAAACAAACCAGGTTTAATAATTTAAGACGTTATAACTTAATAATTAAGTGATTAAATATTTAACAGAAAGAAGGTACTAAGAAAAGAGATTTGATTAGAAAGAAGATGAAAATGAACGATAAAGATACTGAAAACAATAATACTGAAAACTTTAGATACAGACCCGATATATGGTCGACAAATAACAAGGTAGTATCGGTTAAAAAATGGTTATTTTGACCACATCATTCCTTTGAATTTAAAAGTGTTCATTCTGCTTTCAAATACCTGTGTGCAGTCTGTGAGCGTACAACTGTAAGACAACTGTTTTTTTATGAGATTTACTCTCTACTTACATGTATATATATGACCAGGAATAGTTTTTAGCGTGGACGTAATGAGCGTGTCCGTTGTCCCTGATCGATATTTAAATCAGTTCACGTGTCAGTCAGTAATGAGCGTCCCTACGTCTGAATTACAGGTTTGTTACTGTAATGAACCACTCACTTTGTTTCGATTAGACAAAAATTGATCTGATAGATCTCTGGTTTCACAGATTTTTACCAATTCAACGATAAACTTGTTTTAACTCGTACACTTTTTCCGTTCAATATTTTGATCCGTTTTAGTTCGCATAGGTTTTACTATGAGTGAGGTATTTTCTTATTTTTTTTTCCGTGAGAAAAGTCGGTTTTGTCATGCATGTGTGCTTGAGAAAAGTGATGAATTTAATTATTCAACTGCCATCTCTAGGCAACGGAGTATTTGATAACAGATCATACGTGGCATGTTGGTACAGCGAATGTATCGATCTTTGTCCAACACAGACTGACAGCTGTGGAAGGAAAACTGGAAATTTTCAAATATCAATTTATAAATAAAAATTCAAAAATATCACACAATGTACACATAAGATTTGCTTGAACCATAAAGCCATTACTATTTACAAGCAAAATTATATTTTTGGAATGAAAATAAAAGAAACAGTACACAGATCTATGTTATGAAAATCACAAACATGAAAGATTGCCGAGTGTCTTATCCAATGAAAACAGACGAGGAACAACATGGAAGTAGGTCATGATTTAAAAGAATTGACAAGTACCTTGACGTCATGTCCTATACAAATATACATTATGACTCAAAAGAAAATGCATACACTATTCAGGAAGTAACCTAAACAATGTACACTAAAAAGGAATACCATAGTTCCTTACAGTAGTTAAAGTATTAAATAAATCTAACAATATACCAGGAAAGGAGCAGGATGTGAATAGTAATTAACACGATCTACAGGTTTATCATTTTATAATCAAATGTAATCGCTTTTCAGACCTCCGCTCTAAATACAATAAAGCAATATTATTTCACCTGGCCTAGTATGTATAAATTTGTTCAATTACTCAAAATAGAAAACACAAAAGAACTTAATAATTTAGGAAAGTATTTATCACTAGCGTTTAAACGTAGAGCAGATCTATTAAGAGGTCATCACTAGAACAGGTCATGTGTAGATACATGATGTATATCAGTGTATTGAATACAAATTATGTAATATACCATTATATTGTCTTGTCTGGGCGAATGAGGGTGAAAAAGGTTCTGGCGTGTGTATGAATGAATGTGAGCATGATGAATGACGAATGATTGCTGCTGCTGATGTGATGATGATGATGTGTGCGAGTTAGTGTGAGTGTGTCCTTGTGAGTGTCTTTGTCTTATCTGTAATTGTAACAAGTTGTAAAACTTCAGCAAATAAAGAACTTGCATCAAATGTTATGTAATCGATAAGAAGGTACACATGCCAAACAATTAATGGGTACTCGTGCCAACCAATTAATGGGTACTCGTGCCAATCAATTAATGGGTACTCGTGCCAACCAATTAATGAGTTCAAGTTCAATTTTATTTTGAGTCTTTCGTCTCCTCAGTTACAAGTAACAAAAGAACACCATTACACGACACACTCACAACACAATTACAAATAGAAACAGTATCATAATTTTGGAGAGTGCAACTAAGCTATTTATGATAATAGGGTTCTTCTCGAATTTGCAAATTTTATATATTTCCCTAAATTCGTTATTTCTTTTGTATTTTTCACACTCAGTAGTCCTATCAATTTAAACATGCTTGGTTTTTAATGTAACAATAAAAAAACACGTGTCAACCAATTAATGGGTAAAAGTGCCAACCATTTAAACCGACACAATGTTACAACGCTAACACAGACGAAATATTTACTCCTACAAGTGTATTATTAAACCAAAAACTAGACATAACGATCACTATTTTAGTATCTGTAACCAACTTACTAGGTGTTATTATCTATATATTTACCGAATTGTTTGTTCGTTTGGGTTTAACGTCCAGACAACAGTTATAAGGTCATATGAAGGCGTGGGCCTAGTGAGACATCGCCGAAAGAGAGGGAAAAGAAAAGGGAGAATAGAAGATAAAGATCTCTGGTGTCGCAATCGGGGCAGCAAATAAGTTCTGGTTTCCTCAATGTCCCTAGCTGGAGACACTGAAGAACACCTCAGATTCTACAGTTCCCTCCACATTAGTCGCCTCTAAGTGTATCGTACAGTGGGATACAGCAGACTTAACACTTCCAATGCGCCGAGGTTACTTCTGGTGTATTGCATAAACTGATTAAATGATACGGTATCATGAACATAGTAAATCCAATAGAATCGAAGCAGCCTTGCAGATGTCTTTTTGAAAGGGACACATATTTTTATGAATTACACACCTCCACACACATTCTCCATCCAATCCTTCTCCTGTTGCCCACCGCCCACCAGCACATGAAATGCGTATCCTGTAACTCTATTCTTTACTGAACATATATGTATATTATTTTTACAATGTGTATTTGGGAGAGGACTATATTAAGTTCAAATAACTTGTTATCCAATCCCTTTGTATCTTTGATCAATAAATTATGTTCAAACTTAACTATGTATCATACACCTTAGTTTGTTTTGAATTTATACATATATAGAGTTGAAACTATATGTAAGTCGTGTTAATTTATACATATATAGAGTTGAAACTATATGTAAGTCGTGTTAATTTATACATATATAGAGTTGAAACTATATGTAAGTCGTGTTAATTTATACATATATAGAGTTGAAACTATATGTAAGTCGTGTTAATTTATACATATATAGAGTTGAAACTATATGTAAGTCGTGTTAATTTATACATATATAGAGTTGAAACTATATGTAAGTCGTGTTAATTTATACATATATAGAGTTGAAACTATATGTAAGTCGTGTTAATTTATACATATATAGAGTTGAAACTATATGTAAGTCGTGTTAATTTATACATATATAGAGTTGAAACTATATGTAAGTCGTGTTAATTTATACATATATAGAGTTGAAACTATATGTAAGTCGTGTTAATTTATACATATATAGAGTTGAAACTATATGTAAGTCGTGTTAATTTATACATATATAGAGTTGAAACTATATGTAAGTCGTGTTAATTTATACATATATAGAGTTGAAACTATATGTAAGTCGTGTTAATTTATACATATATAGAGTTGAAACTATATGTAAGTCGTGTTAATTTATACATATATAGAGTTGAAACTATATGTAAGTCGTGTTAATTTATACATATATAGAGTTGAAACTATATGTAAGTCGTGTTAATTTATACATATATAGAGTTGAAACTATATGTAAGTCGTGTTAATTTATACATATATAGAGTTGAAACTATATGTAAGTCGTGTTAATTTATACATATATAGAGTTGAAACTATATGTAAGTCGTGTTAATTTATACATATATAGAGTTGAAACTATATGTAAGTCGTGTTAATTTATACATATATAGAGTTGAAACTATATGTAAGTCGTGTTAATTTATACATATATAGAGTTGAAACTATATGTAAGTCGTGTTAATTTATACATATATAGAGTTGAAACTATATGTAAGTCGTGTTAATTTATACATATATAGAGTTGAAACTATATGTAAGTCGTGTTAATTTATACATATATAGAGTTGAAACTATATGTAAGTCGTGTTAATTTATACATATATAGAGTTGAAACTATATGTAAGTCGTGTTAATTTATACATATATAGAGTTGAAACTATATGTAAGTCGTGTTAAATTATTCTCAAATGAGCATCACTTCTAGTTCAATATTTTTTTTTTAGAAAAAGGTATGTAGATTTTTCTGTATTTTTATTTTGAATTTTTTTATTTTATTTTTATTACAGCTTCATCAAACAGACACACTTGTAGACAGAAGCACGGGTTTCTTCTCAATCATAATTTAGATCATCATCATCTATTCACTTTGACAAGCGTCATAATCAGCACCACATATGCAAATCGACTCACATCATCATTATCATAAAAACGCAGTGACCAGCATTATAGTAATCATCATCCTTTTCATCATCATATATAAACACTGACCAGCATCATCCTCATTTTCGACATTGACGAGAAAAGGTATAAAGATGCAAAGGAAAAATATTTTCTCTTGATTTTCAATAATTGTTTACTTTAATTAATCGGATGCATGAATTAAATTAGATTTATATATTAATGACATCGGTGACAGAGACTTTACTATGGAGTTATAAGTAGTATTTACAGTCTGTATGATAGATAAGCATACACTCACCTGTACGTATACCCCATGTCTTCATACACATTGTAATACGTGTACAAACTACCCCGGTTATATTCACTTAATTAACGACCCGGAACTAGACTTTCAATGTAGGGGAATACCCAATCTCTACGCAGAGTTACGGTCCTTGCACTCCCTTTGTGTGTGATTGAAAAGGAATAGAGATTGGGAATACCAAACAGCGAGTGTCTAGCCAATGAGAATGATGTCACCACCATTGTTCTATTTTTGGCATAAGGTTTTTCCCGATGACCTTCATCTAGTAACAGATACAGTATCCGGCTCGACAAATGATTATTTCATGGGATAACACCAGGTAACATTTGGTATAAACATTGTCAGTATCATTTAGTGTATCACGGTGTAAATTTTCAAATTTTCACTTTTTCAATGTTCGTTAATTTATTGTTATCTGTTTATATCAACCCCTATGTCTGTATATTTAGTATGAATTTCTATGTGTACACTGAGTAACAAAACCTTACTATCTTCCCTGCAAACACGTGCCCGACTTGAGATCTGTGCAGTTTTCCTTTCTATTTGAAAAAAAGCGTGAAGGGAATGAAGTTGTTTATACGTATGTCAATACAGTAATACTGACAACAAGCTTCCGGTCGATTTACTTCAGACAATGTGTGAATGGAGTAGATATATTTCAAACATTACATGATTGAGTATTCAATGATTTTATTTTTTGTACCGAATAAACTACGTCACCGAGAGAGTTCCGTAAAGGTATGTCTTTGACTCCCTGCCCCCCCCCCCCCTCCCCCAGCTGTTAATAAAATGTTAAACAACAAAAGAAAACCAAACGAAACCAATATACCCCCAAAATATATTAGACGTTAAACAAACTAAACAAGAACCAAACAAAACCCATAAATTGAAAATAACTAAACGAAATAAAATTTATGACAAAATGTAACAGGTTAATCATATAGTATAAATGAAGCTTTGAAGCTCATTTTGAAAGATATTATTTCACACCAAATAAATTATAAATTCAAATAATTATCAGTGAATAACCATCCATAGCCTACGCAAAAGGTCATAAATGTAATATTACAAATAAAAAACCTAACAGTTTTGCAGAGGAAATCATGTGATATATACATTTTTTTGTTTGCATTTTGAATTTTTGATTTCAATACATTAATTTAAAGATTAAGTAAAGCATTTTACCTGAGTGTAGCTATACAGTACCTGATAAGGGGTCAGCTGACTGGATTGTGCTGGACAGAAACGCTAACTACATGCATATGCGCTTATTCTACTTTCACTTTCGACATTTCGCAGAATATTTCGTTTTGTTTTCTGAAAACGGCCGTGTTTGGCGCACGTCCGAATTATGTTATCGATTAATGATATACATGTAAGGATTATACACATATTTGCTGTAATTCAAGAATTCGAGACAGCAACAAATAAATAACCGATATTTGACGAAAAGTAAACCATTTGCATCTGTTAAACACAGAAACACACGTGTTATTTTTACTTTCGTTTTCGAAGAAATATCGGCAACACTGACCAGTTTTTGAAAACACAATTTAGACTAGACTAGTTGGTCTATTTAAGTTCTATATTTTTTCTATGTTTGACATTTAGTCATTCACAATGAATCAGCCATTGTTTATATATCTTTTGCAAGCATTTACAATAAAGTAGGTCTTACATCATACAAGTACATGCGCTGTACGGAAACATGAACTTAACATGAATATGTATATATCAATTCAATAATTGTGTTGCTCATTTATAGTTACTTAGTAACTTGAAGGCAAATAATAAAACAACAAATTTACAAAGAAACTGCAATAGTCAACAATATATAAACTATACAGAAGCCAGGCCCACACTCCTTAGTTCAAATGACTGGTTTATATATAAGCACCAGTCAAGGATAAGTTGCATATTGTCAGAAGATAAAATATGTGTTAAAGTATTTGTATCTAGTATAGAAAAGTTTTGAATATATATGCACTGTTTAAAAATTGGAGCATTCGAAATTCAAAATGCATATATTATTTAACTGGAATAAATATGTCAAACGCTTTGATGTACAGATCTAAACATATTGTTGGAAATATACATGTGCTTGATCATATTTGGTAAAGCAAACAATAGATGATGATGATCTTATGTTAAACTACTAAATTAGTCTATAAATCCATGTTATAAGTATTACACGTAGGTTATTTATATATAATGTTTAAGTGATTGATTCTGGTAATAATTACCATTGATATTATGCGTTTTATTTAATATTTTTGTTCAAGGTTCATCATAAGTATTAAAAACAAATCGTCATTCATATTCTACATCTGTTTGTTGCTGTTGCATATGTCGTTATTCAGCCTTCGGAATGATGTAACTCGCTTCCCTTAATATCAAGGCTTTTGATTGGCTCGTCAGAAGCGAAATTACACCCCGTGAATGTCCCAAATGTCTAAATGTGCCTTAATGACCCTTTCCCGGTACCATACAGCCAATCATGGAGACAATAACTTTCTCTTTAAAACGATACCAAGCTTAAGTGTTTTATTTTATTTTATTTAGTTTAAACAAATATGGAAACTTGGAAAATATCCAATTTTAGTCGGTCACAATGAGGGACGTTCTCTGGTATTTAAAAGTTCTTATATATAGTACAGAGAAAATCAGACGACGTACATCGATAAGTCATGGTACATCGCTTAGGTCGAACAGACTTGCTAATTAGTTAAGCGCATTACTGAAAGTCATTTATTGTGTTCCTAAAAGCTCTGTTAATCAGAAATAATGTTTCCAGTATAAGGCCACCTCCCTATTTTTTACTTCATACAGTTACTTGGTGCAAACAGAAACCATAATTCAAAATCGACGAAACTATGGCAAACTTCGAAGATTCACAGAAATATCCTCTAAAACTACATGGAACATAAGATAAATTGAAGGGTAGGTTATTTTCTTTGTCGCCGATAACCGCCATGCGTAATCTGACCAAATTCAAGTAAAGCAGCATCCCCAAAGAGCAAACCAGAGTAGGGACTACAAAACTACAAGACGCACTGAAATCATACTCCAAAGCATCGACCCTCATATCGCTTAAGGAAATAAAACAGTTCCTTATAACATCATGATGTAGTTTTCATCAATCTGCATATCTCAAAACTTGTGGTGGCAGAAAGTAACAATTTAGGATTTGACAAGGCTTTTGTTACCGGAGCTGACATTCTTCTCGGGAAATTCACGTTCATTTGCAAACTTAATCAATTTGACCATGCGAGGGGATTGTTAGTTTCTGTAGGTATGCCCATAGTCTGTTGTAATTCTTGTCACCAAACTCAGCAAATGTGTTATCTGCCAGGAGTATAATATCTCTCATCTTTGATTTGTCTTGTTTCTTGTAAAATATGCCCGTGAACGGTTCACATCCATACATCTGCAGCGATTCGTCTTTCGAGTAAGCGAATCTTTCTAATAAAGAGAACGAAGGTGTTTTAACGTCGATTCTTCTGATAGAAGAAACAATTTTGAGGAAAGGGTGTTCAGCAATGACCGGAAGATTTTTTAAGTTCTTCAGCTTTGATCTTCCACTAGTTTCACCTTTAAGTGTAGATTCTAAGAATGGCGGATAAAAGTTGGACTAACGGCTATGTTTGAGCAACATGAAGATTAATTGATAAAACGCTTTTAATAAAGATTGTTTGAAGTTAATGGATTAATTACGAGCCTAGCGAGTTACCTTACCAGTAACCGGTATAGAAACATATTTTTATAGAGAAGCTCATAGCTAGGATTTTGTCCTTTGAAAGTTTCGGTTAAAGGACAAGCAGTGTTTCTAGTTTCTTCAAATGCAGAAATGAAAAAGTGTTTGCAGATAAGAATTAAGGTTTAGATAAGTTGTCTGTCGACACATACTTGACATACATTGTACTTACCATGCAAAGTTTTAGTGTTTGCTTGTGTTTCAAAAAATAATAAAAAATAAAAATAGAAATAAAAACAACAACCCTGATTGGGTACATCTGTATATGGAATACAAGGACATGCCAGTTTGGAGATTACTTGTTGTGTAGGACATTGCAGTATTGCATATAACCAATTAATGATAAATTTAACTAAATAATAAAGTGATTTTTGTTGATATTCCTGACTATGCGTTTAAACACGTGTAAATAGTATTTTTTATGTAGTTTGAAACTAGTTTTGCTTTCAATTTTGCCATTTTGCACGAATTCAGATTAGGATATTTTCTGTAAACGAACTGGATTAAACAGATCAACGTATACTGGTGTGTATTGTGTTACGTCCGACTTTCGTTTTCGACCTGTTTCGAAGAATCATTCTTATGTTTTCGGAAAACGGCCGACTTAAACATGTTCATCCAAAAATGTTATGATTTCTGATATCTGGACATATTTTTTTTATATGTTATATGAGAAGTAGGGATAAAAATATCGGTAATTGTCGAAAAGCATACAATTTTTTATACGCTATAGAGCGAAATATTTGTGTGGCTTTCGTTTTCGTGTTCGAAGAAATGTCAGCAACGCTAATCCAGTTTTGAATATGTTGATTTAAAAAAATATATGTACATTCATAATGAAATAGCTATTGTTTATATGTCGACTGTAAGCATTATAAAGATTGTATGCTTACCACCATATCACTATATAAATGCGCGTGCATTCTGATAACATATTTAATATATCTTATTTGATCTTGAAATAGTATTATTTTATCGGAGTATGACATCTACTACTGAAACTTTGAGCGTGAAAATTTCAGATTTACAATAAAATGTTTGGAGATATTAACATTGTAAATAATGTAAAAGCTGAACTCAAGCTAAGACTCAGCTTAAGGTAGACTCGGAAAGTTCGTGATATCTTACGTTTCTGAGATGCAAAAGGGATCTTGAGTCCGTGCGATAATTTCGGAAGAAATGCTTTGATTTTCATGAAAGGTTATACACATTCGTACAGGATCAATTATCCAATCAAGTTCGATTTTGAAACAATTTTGAGATTTCTCAACGATACATATTTTACCGGAGAAAAGGAAACATGAATAGCATAACAATAGGTAAATAAATGCTGTTTTTATGCACACACAAATAGTTAAAGGGCTGTTTGTTAGCTTTCTGATAATAATTTTGAATTTCAGATTTACAATAAAAGAAGGACATGCAATGAAATAAAAAAAGTACTTGCTATATTTATTGGAAAAAATAGATTCTCATAAATTAAAATAATGTATACCAGAAAACAAACATATAATGATTATGTATGGTATATTGTGT